TGCTCCCCTCTACCGTCCTCTTCCCCCACTGCCCTCAGCCTGAAATCCCTGCTTTGAAGGGCTTAAGTCATCGCTCACTCTGATAGAGAGAGACAGAAAGAAAAACTGTTTTGGAAAAGAAAAAAACCTGAGATTTCTTAACTTATTCCTCCTGCACGTTAAAAGCACACACTTCTTAAAATCATGCATTTAAAACGTCTTTACTTTCATGATATTGCACTATTGGTTAAAGAGCTGTTAACACAAAAAAGAAAAAATGCATCACCAGATTTCCAGTGTTACATGGTTCTTTTTAAAGTTCAAACGGGAGAGTTTATGAAATATGTATGTAAATGAAATTAAGTTACTCTAAAAAATCTGAAATCAACTGTATGCTCTCATTCCTCAGCCACGTGACAGCACTCTTCACCAGCTGCAGCTGACTTTTCTGAACAGAAAGAAACACGCGAGGTGCCTGTTTAGCACTTTCCTCCTATAGAGCTGAGTGAGGGGAAAAGTTTTGGACCATGCTCAGTGAATGAAGACACAGATCCCAGCTGAATGCATATTTATGGTGTGATTGTTTAACATGTCAAATGAGTGCTGAGACACCGGTGTTTATGCTGGAGAAAAACTGGTACTTCTGTGCCCTCTTGTGTTTGAAATATTATTTAATATTCTTCTTCAAAGTGAAAAAATAAAACAAAATGAAGACTAAATGAAAAAAAAAACTGCAGCACAAAAACACCAAAGTAAACATTCAATAAATACTCTATTTTGTAGCAACCAGCAAATGATCAACATTTGAAAATACCTGTCTAAATAAACACTCTGGTGCGTGCGCCAAGTGGATTCTGATCAAAATCACTTCCGCCTTCCAGATTTACTCAGGCGTTCAATCGTGGAGGAGAAGTGCAGAGCCGACCTCTCACACAGTGAGAGAGGAGTGTCTGTTTCGGTTTCAGTGTCTGCCTCCACTGAGGGGGCAGATGAGGCTGCAGAGGTTGAGTCACGGTGCTCCAGTGACTCATCGCCTGTGTGATCATGGAGATGTGGGGAAGTCACCGGAGCGACTGAACATGAATGGGCCCTGTTAGTATGAGTGAGGGCACCTCCATGTCCTTCCTGATTTCCATTTCCAAGTCCCTCCAGGTGGGCCTGGAAAGTACAGGTCTGTTGTTCCAGGGAAAGGAAACTCTCCTGCACCTTGTCAAACTGTGAGGAGCAAGATGGTTCTAGTGGGTTTGTAAACCAATGAACAACATTCAGCAATTTGTCTCTGTTTGTCTAATAGGCAAAAATCAGTGTACCTGCTCAATGCTGGACTGAAGCAACAGTTCTGGCCAGACTGACTCACTGCTGCTGTTCACACTGTCGCTTATACGAATGTGACTCCAGGTTAATTCCTGTGAAACAAGACAGAACAGACTTCTGCATGAAGACAACGAAAAAAATCTGAAGTGGATTTTTTATTGCATGAGGAGACGCTGACCTGTATAAGTTGTGTGCTGTCCTTCAAATGAGTCTGGCAGGACTGAAGCTTGTTCCTGTAGCCGCTCAAAACTGCAAACAAAGTCTTTGCCAAACACAAGATTATTACAAACAACACCCGGAGGCAATGACGAGGCAAAGTTTAATGTAATGAGCAAGATTTGTGGATCTTAAAAGAAACTAAAACTAACAGTTGTCGTTGTCAAGCAGAACGCACTCAGAAAAGCTGACTGAAATCTTATTTCTTGTTTGCAGTAACACAGCTGAACTCTAAATGAAAACCAGTACCACAGCACTGCAGGCAGACCTTCACAGCTGCTCACCTCTGCATCTCTCTGTGCCAAGGCCAGGTCTCCGTGGCCTCGGTTCTCCTCTTTTGTTAGTGTGACCCCTGTATGTAGCTCTTCCAGCTGGGCCCACAGGCCGTCTAGGCCTTCCAGCATGTCCTTCACGCTGGCCTCAAAATCCCCCTGCACCTGGACAAGAGCTCGTAGTAACCTCATCCTATCAGAGAGGAGTGTAGTGTTAATGCCACTGAATTAAACCTCAAAAAAACAAATAGTGTTCAGGTTTGAAACCTCACCTGTCTTGTAGGTAGGAGCGGATCAGCTGCACTTTGTCTCTCACTACATCAGCTGCCACTGGTTCAGTACTGGCCTTCTCAAGTATGTGAGACAGTGACTACAATGAAAGAAAAGATTGACGGGGCTGGATTTTACTTTGTGGGTTTGTTTCTGCAAATGTTGCTGTCAGATAAAGCTTCAAGAGATGAGGCCAGTGTGCAGGAATCCACACTGCTTGTTGTATGTTATGTCCATTCTCTACAAACAACTTTGTTCCACCCCTGCAACTTTCTGAAGATGCAATATATCTTAACCAAGTTTGAACAAACATTGATTCTGCAACTGAGATTTAAAAATGCATTTCTGGAAGAGTCTCAGAAAATACATATAAACAAACAAACAAATACATAAATAAATAAAACCCAACAGACAACAGATGTAAAATACATACACAGCCCATTGCAACAGAAAGTTCAGAAGGAGAAACATGACTGAGACCAGACAAAAAGTGTGTCGCTACACTAGGGCCCCTTTGAGACGATAATGCTCATGAAAAAATGGAAATACCATTTTTCTTTTCTTAAATATTAGCCACTAATGGTGAAAAAGGTGTGACCTGAGGCTGTGGCCAGGAGAAAAGGTCATGTTCTTTAGCATTCAGCTCTCAGCAAATTGATTTTATCCATTAGTTTTTAAGATATTTTGTCAAAAACTACAGTGTTGTACAAGTCAAAATTTGAATCTACAAGATTTAAGTCAAAAAAGAAAGGGGAAGAAAGATCTTAGAGTCCTCCTCTGGGAATTTCTTGGCAGTTAATTTAATAATTAATATTATTTCATAATGGAACAACCATGCTGGACAACAGACCATGAGACTGACAGTGTGGCACACACCTAAATATCTGTCCCCTGCCAGTCTGGTTAATTCAGAGCACAGACAACAGCAGCTCAGGGATGGTGTGCGTTGCCTGCAGCTAGAATATATTTGTAATCTTCAGTGCAAGGTGTGATCTTTGTAATAATACCAACAAAAACTTTACACTGATCTACATGCAAAGAATGACTAAAGACAAAAGAGATGAGAAGTATTGCTGGAGGCTGATGTGTGTGTGTGAGAGAGAGTTCTTGCTCCTACCACCAGTCTGGAGAGGAGAATGTGAATGTGGGGTACACTGGGATCTGCCAGGGGCTCCTGGAGCACACACAGCAGCAGGCTGTCGGCCAGGACAAGAGCCAAAGGAACACTGGGGTCCGGGCTCCTTGACTGGGTCACCCTGGAAAAATAAGTAGTGAGCATGTGTATGGAGCTGTCTGAAATTTGGAAATCTCTTTGGTGATTTGTCACAATTTTTTCCAAGATAATATTTCGATCATCCTGGAAAATCTCTCCCTTGTCAAAAATGCCAAGAATTAATATCAAGTATAGAAGGTGTAACTGTAAAAATAATATAGTCTCACCATGAATACTGGTTATTCCTATTTTCAGCCACAACCTCCTGCTGTATCCTCTGTGGAGGCCCCTCCTTCAATTAAAGCAAAGGCACTGAATAAACATGGCACAGTTAAATACACCAACGCGCTCAGCTGCGATCACTTCATGAGGCTGCATTCACCTGGTTCTGTTGTGACCGCAGGCAGCACTTCAGGGCATGGACACAACCTCCCAGAACCACCCACAGCACGCACACCATCAGGAGCCTCCAGCACATATCCACCACAAAGACAGAAGGGTGAAGCAGCGCCTCCATCTGGCACAATGTCCACACTACACCCACTGAAGCAAAAATGTACCAGTCTCTCCATGACCGCAGCCTCCTGAGAGCCTGGGACCAAGTTGTTTGCTGTGGCTTAACATCAGCTGGGGTTTGAAGTGAACTGCTGGAGTAATAGAAAAACAGCTAATAGTTAAAAAGCAACAGAGTAATAAAATGAACAGGCACACTGTTAACTGCTGACATGGCTCCAACATTGACTGAAATCTGTTTTTATAGTATGTCAGCCAACTCTCATGTCAGGTACACAAGCACATTTCTTGTGCTTCACCTTTCATACACTTGATTATTTTTGCAAAACCTGGCATCCCGTTTTGAGGTTTTAAACAATGCCTTGCCACCCAAGGTGCATTTTTCAGGAAAACAATTAACCAATTTCTGTGTCAGAGTCAAAGGGGTTCATCCCCAAATCAACACGGCACTGTATAACTGTCACTTCAGATCTTTTAGCTCCTGTGTAATGGTAAGCAGTTAGATGTGAATTCAGCTGATGACATATAGACAAATCTTTGGCTAACAGAGCAGAAAACATTTGCTCTCTGGAGCTGGAGCTGAGAAATGTACTCGGACCCCCATTTCACTGCAGTTTTAGACCTCTCCTCCCAGTAGCAGCAACGGTCTAGAGAACTGCCAGTCTCAGATGATTCCAATCAAAGGCCAGTTGTTGAATGGCACACAGTCTACCTACCACTGCAGCTCTCGGCTCCTCTCGGCAGGTTCTTCCGCCCTGTCCTCTTTTACCTCTGCCATCCATTTACAGGCCCAACCCCACCCCACTCTCTCTCGCTGTCCTGTAACCCCCGGACCTTTGGGGTAGGAGACCATCAACTGAGGCATGGGAGCAACACAGACGCAGACATGCTGTTTGAAACTGGAGCAGATATCGAAGTAGTGATTAGATTAACAATGTTTGCAAAGTATGTGTCTTGCAACATGACAAGCTTGTTAAACTGGTTCCCCTAGGAGACTGGTTTTATTTGGGTAGTGACTTTTAACCTTTCCGCACATTCCATCAGTGCAGGCATGTGCTGAACATACTGATCACAATTGTTTGGAGGACAAGCCCTGCTCCACCCAGGTACGCCAGGACTTAACCCCAACAGTCACTTCTTTCTCTGTGAATCACTGGCAGATACAGGTACTGAGCTAGTATTAGCTCACATTGTGTGAACATGAGAGGTTTACACAAAGAACAAAGCCCATACATTAGGTTAACACCGTTTCTGTTGTAATACTTGCAACAGTTTTAAGATGCTGTAGAAGTGGTGCTTTCTGAGGCCATGCTGCCAACTAGCAGTCACATAAAAAATGACATCCAGACAAGTAAAAACTGGACACCATAAAATTACATGAACAACATTTGTTCTGACGTTCAGCACATTTATAATAAAGCAAAAAGAAAGGCACAATATGTAAAAGGATTTAATTTCAACATGTGACCAAAGGACAAAATCACCAGCAACAATCATGGCTGTACATGAGCTCATAATATTCCTGCTATATTTTACATTGTACAAGTCTATTGTTATATAAATAGTGGGCACATTAACAGCATTTTACTTTATTTTAGTGCATTAACCTACACTGTCATCATAGTGAACCTACTGTACAACTGCTTAATGAAAATATCACATTCTGTACCGTAACACCAGCACCAGACATGCCTTGCACGTGGACACTTCAGTAGGACGGGTGAGTGCTATCACAAGGTTTGAACTTTTCCAGCTGAATCACATTCTCTCTTTAAGACAACATAGATAGACATGTGTGATGACATCCATGGCTTGTCTTAACCTTAAAATAGTATGCTGCCATTTAGATACCACCCCCAGCTCAAATACTTGCACTGTCTTTGTAGGTTAATACACAAATTAATAGTGGAATATACCTTTAAGTTCCTAAGCTGTTCAGTTGCAAACCGGTGATATTGTCTCAAAATATTTCGCTGGTAACATTTCATAGAAAAAGATGTTGTGAACTTTAGTTTAGCGTCTTCAGAATTGTGTTTAACTGAGGGAAAGATGTGATGGTTTTAGCTACAAGCTTGGAAAAACAATGTGTTAAGCTGTCTGCACCAAGAGAGGCGCTATCCATGGGGCTGCTGTGCTACTCTGCTTTCAAAACTAACCTTAATATAAATAATTGAGAACTGAACATTTTTCTCCTCAGACTGACGAGTCTCTGTGAAATAAACTGAATAAATTCAAATAGAAAATGTGTGTTCTCCTTTTTAAAGAGTAACGTAGCTCGCGAAAAGGTTGTTTTTTTTCTTACACTCCAGTGGTTTAACTTCTCACCTTGGTGCAGGGACGTACAGGTGTACTCCAGGATGCCACATCACTGGTGGGTGTGGTCACTGGTGTAACGATTTCTTACCAACTACAACTAACGTCAGAGGTGAAACAGACTTTGCACCAAAGAGGGCAGTGCAACACTGATTTTCCACCTGGTGCCAAGTTACTCTTTAAGTCTAGTTTCCTGGTGTCATTCATTACTGTACCTTTCAGATATGTCAAAATCAAAACTGTCTAGTTTGAGGTAAACTGTATGTGTAAGAACTCTGCACAATCCTTGTAAAACCAAACATCCATAGCTGACACCAAAAGCAGCTTGGTAGCATTCAACAAGGCTTGGAGGAGTGGAACAGGTTGTTTGCTATTCTCCATTTTACTATAGAGGCACAGGCCTTGTAGTTGTGACAAAGAAAAACATAAAATAACTCATTTTGAGTATTGGGAGATCAGGGCAGTCCAGCATGAAGTAAAACCAGACGGAGACATTTCAAAGAGGAAATGAATCACGAGATATCAACAACAGCATGGTCACATACGACAGAGGGGTTGTGGAGTACTCACACTGGACAAACACATAATTAACTGTTTTCAGTGTTGTTTTATGCAGGATTTTCCATATCTTTCAGCATTTCTTCCCAGAATTTCATTTATAAACACTATGCTTCAAGAAATGTCTGACTTCACATGTATGGAAAATGGGTACTGCACATGGACTGAGAAACAAAACTGTTCCACCTTCTCCGGGCCATAAAAGAATCACTTTAATTTAACACACTTTGCAAACTTACACAGGAACCCTGTATTTGACATTTTCTTCGGTTTTAGCAGCCCAACTGAAAATGCTTTTGCCAAACTGCAGAAGCCCAGTGCTGGGTATTCAAAACACGCTTTTGTTTATATATTATCTTAACTTAAAGACATAAAACTGTGCTGGTTATCTGTTCGTCCCCATTTTAGCTCTAAATGCACACAAGTCTGTATCTACCTGCATCTGACAGTGTATCGGGTCATTCACAAGGTGATGAGGTCTACATGCACAATCAGTCTGTGGAACTGCTCAGCTCATCGCTGAGCTCAGGGTTTAGTTATGTGAACCTCATTGGTGCCGCTGCCATTGGTGGCTGTGGTGATGATGTACTGAGTGGTGGCTTGCTGACTGGCTGGTTGTTGCTCCATATGTTCACTGTGAGCCTGGCTCGAGCTCTGAGGAACCGTCTGTTTAGTCTCCAGCTCAGTCTGACCATCAGCGATAATAAAGTGAGCCTGCAGGACAGAGATGAGGGTGTCTTTAGATCCACAAAGACGTTCTGATCTCGGTCAGGATGTGTGACACATTCAGCTGCAGTGTGAGCCTTGCTATAAGAATATGGATGAGAAGAAAAAAATGAAACTTAACTAATAATACGTCTAATAGCTTTCAGACAACATTTACTCACCGTTTTTACCTGGTTGCTGTTGACTCCAGATACAGGTGTGCTGGACTCAGTTATCACATACTGTGTGTGAGGTAGAGTCATCATCTGGATCTCAGATGCTAGAATATAAAGGAGCTAGCATGTTAACCTGACGAGAAACCATGCAGCACAGAGCCATCAAAACATCCAGAATCTGAATGGACTGAATGGGAGCATGTGTAGGACTCACAGTAGCCTCGGTAGTTCCAGTTCCCGGGTATGTAAGCATGTTGCACAGTCCCCTGCTGCTGGGTGCTGCTGGTCTGCAGGGTGTGACTCTGAGCCAAGGTCACAGGGGTCAGCTGGGCGGGGCTCAGGTCCTGACCAGCCTGCTGGGAGGTAGGGCTAAGAGGCTGACCAGTAACCTTAAAGAGAGAGAGGAGATAGTTGCTTAAGCTTAATTCTGTGGATAAAGTTTCATCAACATGCAAAGAAATCCCTGACTTCCATAACAGACTGCAGTTTCAAAGCTACACAGCAATGCGACTGAGATTCTCTGGATATAGAATGACACTTTAAATGTATTATAATCATTATGCATCAGAGTCAGTGCAATGAAGACTTACCTGGGTGGTACCTTGTCCAGTGCCTGACGGTTCGGTCACCTGGATGTGTTGTACCTGGATGGAGTGCTGGCTGTAGCCATGAGGGTCATGCAGCTGGCTCACATCTACTGTTGGGTGCTGGGAGTGTGGGGAGGAAGCCTGTGAAATAATGACTTGTTACACTCACCTCAATCTACCACAGGATTTTCTCTTGACTAATTAATCTTCACACACATTTTCAAAATACAGTAGGAAAAAAAAACAGTAGTTTACCTGCTGAAATGTTGGGAACCTAGTACATGACAAAGCAGTAATCAGCCGGAATTTTCATAGGGGTTGCTGGTTATTTAAAATGATACCTTATTTGTAAAACATAAATCAAATCATTACCACTTCCCAAAGCCAAACGTGGCAAATTGTTTTTTCCCTCCCAGCAATGACACCAAGCAAGAAAAGGCAACAAGCAATTGTAGTTGCAATGATTGGCATTTCTGCTTAATCGACTTAATTGATTGCCAAATTAGTTTATTTGCTGGTAATCAGGTAACAGATTAATAAACTAATTGTTGCAGCTCCACTTAAAAGCTTTTGATTTGAGTGTAAAGAAACAGCAAAGTGCACCACATCTTTGAGTGACTGGTTGTTTGGGGACAGATGGTGCAAAGCTACTTCTTTAAATTCTGGACCAGCTCCTCCTGCATATTAAAGTCTATAACAGTGACTGTTAGGCAGGATGATGTTGCTTCCAGTTTACAAAGGCCTAAAAAAGAAGAAAACCTGGCTCTTACCGGAGCCACCTGCACCACCTGCAGCTGAATGTGCTGCGGCTGGGACAGGCTGCCTCCTGCCTGAGAGACTGGGATGTACTGGATCCTCTGGAAATCTCCCTGCGGTGTTCGGTAGTCTGTGGTCAGTGTTTGAGAAAGCTCCGTCATGGCCTGGGTGAGCAGATCTGTGGTCTGTGGAGAAAGTAAATCCTAATGTTATTATATCTAGTGTGTATTATTAGATGACCCTTTTGTGACCAACTTGGAACATGTGTTTGTAACTCCTTACCACAACAGCCTCAGCTGTGGTACCATCTGCACTGATGACTGCAGGAGCACTGCTGATTACAGCTGTGGTCAGAGGAGCCGGGATGGTGTTGGTGAGTTGGGCAAACTCTGGATGCTTCTTCCTGATGTGCTGAACCATCTTAGTCTGAGACATCAGGCAGAACGTTATCAGTTGAGATCTAATTTTGTCCAGGATGCAGGAATTAGTGCAAACCCTGTTGATCTCGGTTTAATGTTTAAACAGATCTCCAGTGAAGCTTCTTTGACAAAGTTTCACACTGACCTTGCTGCTGTACTGTTTGGCGCAGTGTGGGCAGCAGACCGGCGCAGTGGCGATGGTCCCAGTCAGCTGGGTGTGTGTGCTCAGCATGGGGTCTGGTTCACCAGGAGCAGCCGGCCGCAACTTACGGATACTGGGAGGCAATTCTGCCCCAGGGTGGTTCTTCAGTATATGGGCTTTCCTCTTACTGGCACTCTTGTACACCTGAACAGGGATCAGCTCATTAGAGGGACTCAGCAGCACTATACTGAATGCTGGTATCCTCTGATCAGTTTGAGGTAAAGCAGAATTTCATGCTTGATTCGTGGCATAAACTTTGAGGATGATGCTGGACTACAATTTAGAAATAGCATCAAAATGATTCTTCTTGTCAAAACTTCACTGTGGAAGTGAGAGATTGGAGAAAAACAAACCTTATCACAGTACTGGCAGAAGTAGTCCCTGCTGGGCTTGATAATTGGCAATGTCAGCTCAGGCACGTCATCGATACGCATCTCTGGATGACGTTTGGACAAATGATTCACCTGTGACCAAATAAAAAAAAATGAAGGTAGCCGCAGTGAACTTCAGCATCAACAAACAGCTTTATAGGAGTTGTCGCTCACCAGCATTCCTCTGCGTCTGAATCCCATCATACATAGTCTGCACTTGAACATGAAGCTCTCGAAGTCAGCGGTGGGCACCTTCAGTTTGAGGGATTTGGAACGGTGAGTCTTGTCCGCCTTCTTGGCCTCTCTGTCGGGATTGTGCATGCGCTGCATGTGTTCCCGCAGCTTATCTTTTCTCTTATCATCACAGGAGAAGAACCGTCACATAAGAATTCGCACATCTACCGACTAACACTCCCAGCTGTTACCTCTTGATTCACCTTACCTTGAATTGTTTGCCACATGTTGAGCACAGGAAATCCTTGCGGTCCGAGTGGCGCAACATGTGCAAACGTAGCTTGTCCGGTCGGCAGAAGGCCTTTTCACAGTCTGTACACTGGAAGATCTTCTCTGAATGGAAGCAGCGGATATGCTTCTTCATCTAAGGAAGGAAGAACATTTTTGTAGCCTGAAAACCGAGTAAGTGAATCTATTTACATTTTTTAACCAGGCTATTATTTGCTTAGTTCTAATATAATCTGCCCTTTTGTAAAAGAGAAGCCACTTAGGGTTTTGCTTTACAGTGATTTGAATGACATAAATGACTTCATCTATATGCCATTTACTCCCCCAGATGTCTTTGGCTACATTGGTTGAGATAAATAAAAAGAACTGTGCAACTCTGAGTGCACTCTCTAAATTTTGAAATACACATTGTTTTTGTACAAAGCTAAAAACACAGATATATCATTAACCTGGATGAAGTCAGTAAACCTCTTCTTGCAGGAGGGACAGGTAAAACAGCCATCCACAGCATGCACCACTACATGGTCTTTGAGCAGATCCAGCCTTTCAAAGGTTTGCGGACATAAGAGACAAGAATAGGAGCGGCTCTCAGAGTGCACCAGCAGATGGTCCTCCAGGGCTGAGTCACTCATGAAGCTCTTGCTGCAAATGTGGCAAGAAAAGGCGTAGGTGTCCCGGCCGTGGATCCGCAGATGTTGATCCAGCTTGTCTTTGTCCCGGAAGGCCTTGCCACAGTGAGTGCACTTAAAAGGACGAAAACTCTTCCTGATAAAAAGGTGCTGCAATGCTGCATTCTGAGATGGAAGAGAGAAAGAGAGGAACCGCTAGGAGAAAGCCCCACCAGTGTTTTTTGACATGGATCTGCTGAAACATGGGAAGACCATAATGTGGTGTGCAGGAGGGGGCATATCCTGAAATGTTGCATGAACATTAACACTATGGAAAATGACAAAAGCAATCCCTGAATCACATGTTTTGCTGCCACCCTCCAGGTCCCACCTACCTGCACATCCATCTTTGAGGGAAGCACACATTGAGGGAGAGAGACACACCATTGTAAAGCATATCACAGCCATTATGATACCAAATAACATACTAGATCTAAAAACACAGTTGCATTTGTGTACAGACAGTCTCCTGTCTTACCCGTATCCTCTTCACACGGCGCATGTCCTGAGTTGTGAGGTGGGTGTCTGACTGGCAGCTCTGGGCCGGGTCCTCTTTGAGTGGAGCGAGCAGGTCCGTGTTGGAGGGTGGAGTGACGGACTCTGGGGCCGGTTCCTGTTCAGGAAGTATAAGTGGAGCCTCCACCTCAGTCCGAGTTTCTGCCTCTGGCTCCAGCTCTAACGCCTTCAGCCCGTTCTGAGCTCCATCCACTCGCTCCTCCAGTGGCTGCTTCTCCGTCAGTTCCAGCATCTCCTGATAAAAAGGCAGTTGGAAATAGAGCACTGTTATCGGCTCAGATTGGTCAATTCCATATTTAAAAACAAAGTGTAGATCTGTTCTTATGTCATCTGTCAGTGGCAGCCATTCAAACCTGGTGTAACTCATTGTATTTATGACACATTTCATGGACATTTTTCCAGTTCCTATTTGCATTTTTATATTTTCCTTTGCTCTGAAATAACTGTATAGATATATTTAACAATTTATATTATGGTAAATCAAATTCTGTATGCATGAGAGCTGCAACCAACAATTGTTTAATTACAGAATCTTGATCAACTTTTCAGTTAATTTTCTGGTCTATAAAGTATCAGAAATGGTTGCATCTTTGTTCTGTCCTACTCTGTGACTAGCAACAGGTGCTGAGCCTCTGTGTGTACATTACATAGCAATAAAATGGCAGAAATCTGCAAAAGAATTATCACAATTTCTCAGAGTAGGGGTCAACTAATTAACTAAGTTTTGATGAGTCCCTTACTGTGGTCTTGTCCACACCGGTGTCTACTGGTGGATCCAAACGTATAAATTTAGGGGGGCGTCCTGGTCTTCTGCCTGTCCCAAACCTCTTCCTGCCCCTTCCTCGACCCCGGCCTTTAGATCTGAGAGAGTAAAGGCACAGTGAACAGGTCATACAGCCTGTAGTGTGTCAGAAAGGTGAGAGAGAATCTAAAATGAGGGGATGGAATTTAAAAAAAAAAAGGTTTAACCTGTTAAAAGAGTTTATCTTGTCATCATGCATGTTGAGATGCTGCTGCAGTTGTTCAGAGCTCATGAAGCGACGGTTACACTCGTAGCAAGGCCAGTTCTTCTCTTGTTCCCGCAGCACTGAAGAAACAGAAGGTGTGGACCAAATAAAGCCGCTGATTAACATCATCAACAGCAGGAGACATGATGTTGATAAGCAAGTACTGAATTTACAGACTCACCTTTTCTCTCTTCTTCTGTAACATCATGAATCTTTTGACTGACAAATTCCGCATATGATGCTGCATACCACACCTGTGTTAGGAACGACCATTAAAATCACAAACTACAGCAGTGTACCAAGATATTCTTTACTTATTGGAACTGATTCACTCTGTTTAGCTTTGCTTTGTTTCCACCAGCTCCTAAGAAAATGATTTGGCTCTTAAGTTAATGGATGTTCACCTTTCACCCAGACAGTGATGAAGCAGGATAAATATCAGATTGTTTACACAACACATAAACTGACAGACAGTTACATAGACTGACCTTCAGCTCTTGTTTGGGTTGGATGTTCTTGATGGTTGTGTAAAATATCTCGGAGCCATACTGGTAGGCCACCAGGTTTTGCTCCAGGTGATTCTGAGCTGGTCTCACAAACATCATCCAGTTACAGCTGTCCTCATCAGAAAGGTCCAACCACATGTCATCCAGCTTCTCTCCATCTTTCTCTGCATCCAGCATGTACAGCTAAGGCAACATCCAAAAAGCAGGTCAGAAATGAGAGTGGAAGAGTGCAACCTTAGACTGCACATTGCCCTCATTGCGTCTGGCTGTTGGTAAAGCAATAGTTTCACAGTTTAGATACTGAGGTTTCAAATTGCCACTCCTTGCAGCCAAGAAGTATCTCTACCCAGTTTTACAATGATGTGCAACCAGACAGCACTCACAGAGCACAAAACCTCATAATGTGATTCCTTAGTTATGAAAACCTGCCCCTGGCATTTGGAATCACATTGAAATTGCTAATGGTTTGACAGTTACACATGAAAAATGTTTCAATAATGGCGGTTTTCTTCAGGATCTATGTCAGTAACCTTTGAAGATACATCAAATCTGATGATATCCTACTGAATCAGCAGAGTTTCAACTAGAATTCGATCTTAGCTGCAAGTCTGTAGCATTATTTGTTGTCTCACAGTAGCCGGTTTTCCGTGAGCCCTATAAATGTGAACGTTCTGGATCAACAGGTCTGGAATATTTCTTGGATCCAGATCGAAATTTGGTGTGTGGTAGATTCTATGTGCATGTTATCATTTAATTTTTGCCCAAGCATTGAAGGCACTATGTATACAGTTAGAAGCAAAAATACTATACATTGGCCCTATCTCGCAATGGTGAAGGATCCTTTAAAAAAATTCCTGGATCTGGATGATGATCCGGATCAGCACCAGAATCTAATTGATCGTTCTGTGGGCCATAATCCATTCATTACTTTTTGAGTTTTACTTTGAAGAACCAACCAACAAACAAACAAATATCAGCAAAAACATTACCTCCATCTCCGAGGTAACAAACTGGGCAAAGATGCAAGGTTTCAGGTAATACGGGATATTCTTAATAAAAAAAGACTGGTGTCTTTTTAAATACACAGTTTACTCAGCGCAGCTAAATACCAAAATAAAAACTTCACAGCCTAAAAGAACTAGCAATTCAACTGAAATCGGTATTGCATGGAACTGACTAACTTTCAGATGAATGTAGTGGTCCTGCAGTTGACTCTGAGGAACCAGGGGCCCCTCCACAGGACCAAACTGTGTGCGCTTTGGGATGCGTCTCTTGGAGAACACCCCACCCAGAAAGCGATCGATGTAGAGCACCAGGGGCAGACTGGCCCGGGCCTTGGACATCACCGGCCGGTTGGGGATGGGGTGCAGAGCGCCGTGCTTCAGACACACAGAGGGGTTGGCGCAGTTGCACTCCTCACACCCTGAGGGGCCACAAAAAGGAAAAATCAGTAAGACAAAATCACTCCTATAAATATAGAAAGATAATGTGGTCTGTTAACCTACTAATATGACTTCCCTCAAACATGAGAACACAAAAGGTAAACAGGTTATGAAGATGACCACAATCCAAAACAGTTTTCACTTAAATTGTTGACAAAATGTCACAGAATGGTTGATTTCCGTCATTTCTGATGCCCCACTGTGTGTGGCTGCTGTAAAGTGTCCACAGCAACATGACGTACAGTAACTTACTCAACTTCTGGTTCTGCCTGCTCTACACAAATGACAGAGGGTACATCCCAGTTCCCTTATTTGATCATTCCTCAATTCTCGCTTGACCCAGAAGTCATTTTAGTCTGCCATCTCAAAGAACACACCCAAAGCTGTCATTCCTG